GGTGGCTTCCAAGGAATCTATCTGCAATTCCCAGGAATGCTCTATCCTGACGAAGAAAGTGAAGCAGGAAGCCAGCAAGGACAAACAGTGATTCCCAACCATGCTCCAAAAGGAATTGCTCAGAACATTGGAACAGGGACTGGATCCATGTTCCATGGAAGGGATAGAGAGACCCTGCACAGACATGCAGGGATGGAGGTTGGGAAGTCAAGAAGCTTTGCCAGGGTTGGAACTGGTGTCCACACGCAGTTAATGATTCCCAGCTGGGAACAGCCACACCAATTGCATCAGTCCCCATCCAAAGGTTCCTTACCTTCCTTCACATTCACAGCAGGAGTTAATCCAGTGGATCCCTTGTTAGGGGACCTTCAGAAGAAAGAGTCACAACATTACCTTGGAATAAAAGCTATTTAAATACCATTTTAATTTCTATTTTAATGAAGTGAGAGGTCCTTTAATACAGATCACTCTGGAAAGTTTCTGCTACAGCTGCCAATAACCTGGGCAGAGGCAGAGGCAGCAGAGTCCTTCAGAAAGCTCTCCTTGGACACAGTTTGCCTCTAAGGAATTCCGGAATATGAGTGAATAATTGTTCCCACCTTGGCCAAGTCCAATGAGCCACCCTTGCTTTCTCCCTCTCCACCCCCACCCCTGATTTTGTGGCCAAGTCCCACAGCAAAAGTGGAGGAGAAAATACCAGCACTTTTTATCTTTCTCTGGAGACCCTGGAGTGGGATCTACAGGAGCAAAGCACTTCCTGGGTTTGATTCCAGGCATTACACCAAATTTCCTCTTACTGCAACTAAACTACAGGGTAAACGGAATTAAACATGGCCATAAGGACCAAGTTTGATCTAAGTTTAATAAACAGTGGCTTCAGGTCAGGTATTTTCTTCCAGAAGGGGAAGAAAGGCTTATTTTTAGCTAATTCTCAGTGTGGACCCCGAGGACACAACAGCAGAGGAGGAGCCTGCACACTCACAGTTGTCCTGCACTCTGAGGCAGAGCTGGGTCAGGACGAGCCCGTTCCTGAGCTGGAGCAGCACTGAAGGCAGGGTGCAGCAAACTGTTCTGGAGCTCCCCAGGCTCTGCCCGAGCTCCAGCCGGGTCCTTCTCCTCCGGTGTTTCCCAGGGGGAGGTGGCTGGGATGTGGTTGCCAAGGGGCTTTGCTGGCTGCAGGGTGGGAGCAGTTGCTGGTGGTGCCTGGAACTGGGGCTGCTCAGGCACCAGAGCTTGGCCCTTTGGCACATCCAGCCCTGGAGCAGGTGCCATCCAGTTCGCTGGGATGTCAGATGTGCTGGGCCTCACAGGTGGGGTCACCTTTAGGGATGAGGAATGTTCTGTGACACCCAAATTCCCTCCCAGATGCAGCCATTCCCATTTTCTCAACTAGCTCCACATGACCAGAATGCAACAGAATCTTTAGGTTCCCCCAAGTACAACCATTCCCATTTTTCCCATTAGCTCCACGCGCCCAGAACTCAAGAGAACTTCTAGCTGCATCTCAAACTAAACTGTGGAGAAGCAAAGCCACAGTTCAGGGTAAAACCTTTAAAATCTGGGTGTTGCCAGTTGTGCCAGGTTTCCACACTGGTATTGCCCTCCTACAGCACAGTTGGATTTTGTGGGATAAGCCCATGCAGAGTGTTTCTGTCCATCCCAGAACCCACTCACCACCCTCTGGTACGGCTCAACTGTTGGTTCCAGTCTCGTTCCCTCCAGGCTTCTGGAGAGCTGGGTGAGCTGGTCCAGCTTCTGCTGCAGGGCTTGGAGTTCCAGGACTGCCGATTCCTTTTTCCTCATGGAGTCTTTCTGCTCCTCCTCTAAGGAGAAAACAATGAGATTAAATGAATACACATGGTCTTATGACGTGCTGTGCCTCCTGTACCGTCAGGAGAGATACCACTAATGTGGCATTGCAAAGAGGAGCCCAGGGGATGAGCTCAACCAGGAAGCAGCCATCTGGAGAGCTGGAAAAAGGAGGATACCCAGTGCCTGCTGCTTCCTGAGGAGCTCGTATTTCCTGAAGTATCTCTTGGCCCTCAGCTCCTCAAAGGAGAGCTCGGAGCCCTCGCACAGGAGCAGGTTCTTGTCGTACATCGGGACCTGCTCCCACCCAGCAGCCCCCGATGACGGCTTGGGCGCAACCTCGGACTTGGAGATGTAGGTGACGTAGTTCCTGTGAGGGAAAGAGAGGGAAGGGCCAGGGTTGGGGGATTTATCCCAGGAGAGAGCTCGTTGTCTCAGTGGCACTTGGAAAGGACCACCCAACCACTTACACTTCTTTTCCAGCAGCACAGGATTGAGAGTCAGCAGCATCTAGACCCTAAAGCAGGGAAATAAAACACCAAAAAAAAAAATTAAATTAAGTTCAAGCAGTACAACTGGCACAGAGTCCACTGCTAATATTATTCCTGTGATTCTGGGAATGTGTCAGGCCACTGAGTGTGACCCAGTGCTTCCCAGATGAGACATTCCTATGGAGATGTGATGCTTGCAGCAGGAAAACAAGAGCAATATCACCTCAGTATCAGTTTTGAGATACACCAGATACAGTCAGTCTACCCTATTCAGCCAAGCTTACCAACCTAAACTCTACATGAAACATCTTTCCCAAATAATTCGTCATTTACCTGAGTTTTGCAGAGATTAGGACTTAAGCCACCTTTTGGAGGAGCCATTTGATTTGCAGCATGAGAAGTCTGAAGTGGTTTTACAACAGCAGTGTCTGGGACAGAAAATATAATGTAAGTATTTTCTACTTATTGAGTAAAAATTGTTTGCTCCTTTGTGAATTTTGATTAACTTGAAGCACTGAAAAATTAATAACTTGTTTTGAATACGTTATCCTTAAGAATTTTTCACGTAAAGAGGGAAAATAAAGAGACTTCTACAGGGAATTTGTTTCTTTCACTGACGAAACTCACTCATTGAGGTAAAAAATTCATTTAGAGGAGCTACAGATCAAACACGACTCTTCATCCTCACCTTGCGAAGGAGGATTCCAAGGATCATACCTCTGCAGGGAGCTAAATTGCAAAAAAACTCTATTATTACCACAAAATCACCTGTCCCTCACCCTTCCCCACCTCCCAGTAGTCTTGGATTTCCTTGTACAATCATTCCATGAAAGCATGATTTTTACTGCATATGGACATCTCCACAGCTGCAAAACAAAAAGCCTTCAAGAGGCAGCAGGAGAACAGAACTGGGTATTTGTTTTATATTACAGGGTATTTGTTTTATATTACAATTTACTTTGGTTTTTTGCATTTAGCTTCCCAGACTTAAATAGTTAAACTCTAAGATTCAGCTCAAGGATCATCAGCTTCACTCTGGGATATTTTTTTTTAATATACATCCAAAAAAACCTAATAAATATTCAACAGCAAAGAAACATTATTAAATTTAAACCTCCCTTTAAAAAAAATAAGCACACTGAAAAAATAAACTGCCGGATGCTACCCATGGTTAATTATGAGCACTGAGTAAATGAGTAGAAGAGGCCTCAGCATTACCAGTGGAGCTGTTGCAGGCTCTCCTGGGGCTGTGCCTGGTTGAGAAGCCCTTTTTGGAGCACAGCTGCTGCTCCCTGCACGTTGCCCTCCTTCAGCAGCAGCTGAGCCCAGGCCAGGTAGAAATCCGAAGTCTTGGCTCCAATTCCCTGCCCGTGCAGGTACTCAAAGTACTGGCACGGGGAAGATATGAACTCTGCCTGCACAACACAAATGCACAAAGCCATCAGCACTTCCAAGAACATCAAAGGGAGTTGCAGACAAAAAACATTAGAATTTCTTAGTCATCACAATAGAAAATTATAGTTTTCTGAGGATAAGAGAGGTTAAGGCAAATTTCTCCAAGCTACACAGGTTAAAAAACACACTTCTGCTTTTTTCTGATCCTCCTGTCCTGCAGAGGATCAGAATTCCTGAGGCCTCCCGCACCTCCCAGAGCTCTTTGCAGTCCCAGAATAAATGAGGATAATTTAATTCCCAGAAAACCGTAGCCGTACCCACCAGCTTAACACAGTAGCTCACAAATCGCAGGTCCTGATGGTACCTCTTGTCGCTCACGAACACCTGCACCAGCTTCTCCAGGAGCCCAGGCCAGCAGGTCTGCTTCTCTTGGAGAGGGAGACATCCCTCTGCCCACTGCAGGTACCTGGAGGCGTTCCGGAGTCAGCTCCCACCCACGGAACGGACAGCTCCCGGACAGGGATGCGCCAGGGAAGGGGCGACACCCAAACCGGGGATGGGGCATCCCGAGCCAGGGCCAACGCTCACCTGTCCCACGGCTCCAGCGGGTCGGGCCCTCGGTAATTCCGGATCTGAGCCTCGTAATTCCTGCAGGGAAAAGACCGGCAGAGTGGGAAGCGCCCGCGGTATGGGGTGGAGGCTCTGCCACCCCCACGGCCCCGCGTGGCCACGGCACCCGCGCCTCTCCGGGGGCCGGAGCAGCCCGAGCTCCCGCCGCCCGGGCCCCGGCTGTCCCGAGCTCCCGCCGCCCGAGCCCCGGCTGTCCCGAGCTCCCGCCGCCCGGGCCCCGGCTGTCCCGAGCTCCCGCCGCCCGGGCCCCGGCTGTCCCGCTCCCCGCTCACCACCGGGACTCGGCCATGCCGCCCGCCCCAACCGCTCCCGCCGCTTCAAACTGGCCGCGCGCGGCCCCACGCCGCTCCCCATTGGCCAGCCCTCGGCCCGCACTGCATTCTCATTGGCCAGCCCTCGGCCCGCACTGCATTCCCCATTGGCCTTTAGCCCCATCAATCACGCAAGAAGCAGTTCCCGCCGCGGGCGCTGGGCGGCGCCCCGGGACACGGCCGGGGCCAAAAGCGGGATAAAAGCAGGAATTGGGGAAAGGCTGGAAAGGAAAGGCAGCGCGCGGCCCCGGAGATGAGAGCGGCCCCCACTCCTCACCCGCCTCCTCGCGTCCCACCTCCGAGCCCTGCACGTTATCGTGGAGCAGCCGCAACCCTCTCCCATCGTTAACTTGGAGATAATCCATCGTTTTTACAAACTGCTGATTTTATTGTACTGAAGAGCTGCTTCATTCAGCGTACAGCGGTCCATAGCTGCATATAAAAGTACTGCGATACAATTCCAGTTACAAGAAGTAGTTATTCCATAACATACTGCCCACGGCACGGTCCCTATCCGGGCACAGCCGGATCCTCTGACTCCTCCCTGCATTCTAGACGTTTATATGAGACTTTACATGAGATAAAGCTCCTTTAGAGGGCAAAGCTGTTTGTTCCCACCACGTAACCCGGGCCACACGCTTGGGAGCAGCCAGGGAGCACCTGGACAGCCGGGAATCGGCTCCATTCCCTGATCCGCCCGTCACGCCGCACTCTCGGAACTCGGGCTCCTGGGAACAGCCGAGGTGGGGGACAAGTTTAGGATCTCTTCAAAGGAAGGACCGTCATCCTCCAGGGGTATCTCTGCCTCGAACATGCGCTGGAGCAGAGCATCCACTGTCCTGTATCCTGAAGGGACAAAAAAATGCCCTATAAGCACCAGATGTGCTCCTCTGGATACCTTAAAGGCCCATGGTTTAAAATGGGAAAGAAAATCGCCCAAATTGCACTCCCTGCTTTTCCATCCCATCTACGTTAAGTACTCTGACCCCTTCTTGAAGATAAGGCCATTATTTGGGATTTTAAATCCTTCTATTCACACACAATGGAAATCTGAGGTACTGCAAGAAAGCCAGGAGAAGGATGGAAACAGTCACCGAGCCAGAGGAAAGAAGGATACAGTCATCCCGTGATCCAAGGCAGCAGGAATGCAAAGCCCACAGAGGAAGGAGAAAGGAAAACAGGTGTCTTGGCACAGCAGGACCTCGGCCACCAAGGCAGTGTCTCCAGAGGGAGGTTACTGAAGACAACGAACACAGAAGAGCTAAGGTGGGAGAGAAGATACCACAGAAGTAAAAACAAACATCAAATGTCCACAGCTGTCTCAAATTTTCCAGGTGGGGTTTAGCTGCTTTTATAGCCCCAAGGGAGCAGCAGGGATTTGGAGCTTCCCCAGGAACATCTAGGAACCTTGGGCCTGGACACCCTGGAGGATCACACTTACGTTTGGAGGCAATTTTGAACACCAGCCCTTTGCTCTGTGGCTTTGTTCCACCTTCCCCAGCAAACTCATGCTCTGCACTCTCCAAGTTGTCAAGGAGCTGTTCATGCTGGAGCTCATCCCTGCACAGCAAGGGCCAGGAATTACCCTGGGAAGGGGTCACATCCCACCCTGGGAACCCGGCAGTGATGGGTTCTCAGTGGGGCAGGACAAGCACCAGCCAAAGGGTTATTTTCCAGCATCTTTCCTGTCCTCTGGGCTGGAATGCCCAACTGGAAGAGCCACAGGAGGCAGCAAAGCCAACACCAGTGGCTTCTACTGGCACCTAAGCCAGCAGAGGAGCCAGAACTTCAAGACAGGGAAGAGGAATTTCCATTTTTCAGGAAGATGAGCCAGAACTTTGTGACAAGGAAGGGGAATGTCAGCTCACACCTCGACACAGAGGGTGGTTTTCCCTCGACACAGAGGGTGGTTTTCCCTCGACACAGAGGGTGGTTTTCCCTC